AATCACCATGACAGCCTCACGCTCTTCTTCCGGCCTGGTTCTCAAAGGGTTCTCGTCATGTAGAAGATTTATTTATTCGAGGCTTAATACGGACATTTGATAGCCGTCTTATCAGACGAATTGATCATCCATGTTTTCTAAAGCGTTTAACCATTAACGCCATGTATTTTGAATATAGGAACGATCGAATTATTGTGATTATGAACTTGTTTTACTCAAGTAAAATGGTCGACAACCAGAGCTATGAAAATATTATTTAAAAATATATCTATATAGCTTTTTTTTCGTAAAATAATCCTTTTTTAATTTTAAAGCAAACCTATTTAACTTCAAATGAACTTTTTTAAAAGCTTTAAATGAATCTTTTTTAACTATTAGTGAACGTTTTAATTTGAAATGAAACGACTTTTCAATTCCAAATTAACCATGTTTACCTTCAAATTAACCACGTTTTAAATTCTGATTTAACATCTTTCAATTAATTAAGGTTTTTAGTTGAGATAAAAAAGTCAGTGTCACGAGCGGGATTCGAACCCACGTCCTCCGGCTAGATACGCCGCTGCTCTAACCACTTGAGCTATCGTGACTTCGATCCACTCGTACACTAACTTCCCATCTCAACCCCACCTTTTGAATTTTCCCTGCTTTTTGCCATTTTTCAAGTCACTTCAAGTCAATTCGAAGTCACGATAGCTCAAGTGGTAGAGTAGCGGCGTATCTAGCCGAATATCGTGGGTTCGAATCCCGCTCGCTACACTGACTTTTTTATCTCAACTAAAAACCTTAATTAATTGAAAGATATTAATTGGTCAAGCGGACCACGAAAACTAGTGAATTCTGATTTAACCTTTTTTAACTTCAAATGAACCTTTTTTATTTTCAAATGAAGCTTCTTTTTGATGCCAAATAATCCTATTTATCCAAACAATCCTATTTATCTTCAAGTCAATCCTTTTCAAGTTCGAATTAAGCTTTTTTAACTTAATATAAATTGATTATGTGGCGATATGAGATGCGGTCTGGTGTGAACTAGGTTTTAGAAAAACATTTTCTTTAAGTGCCAACGTTTCGACCTTTATTGAGATCATCTTCAGGGCTCAAAGTGTTTGTTTTCCTTGTAGATGTGTCCTTCTTGTGTGTCGTATTGAGAGTGCTTTAACATCAATATTTTAAAATTTCAAAAGAACCTTCTTTTTAACTTCAAATTAACCAATTTCAACTTAAAATTAATCATTTTTAACTTTAAAATAACCATTTTTAACTACGAATTAACCCTTTTTTCAATTTCACCCTTTCTTAAAAAAAATTAGGGATGAAACGAATTATTATTATTATTAATGTAAAGTAGAATTTCTGTATATTTACTATTTTTAAAAAATATAAAATAATTAGGCTCATAGAAAACCACATGTAAATTAAACAATTAAAAAATACATCAAATTAAATATTATTTTAATATTAAATTAATTGATATAATATTAAATAATATTATTAATGCGTGGTGTTTAGTGCACTCTCAACACGACACACAAGAACGACTGTCTACACGGAAAACAAACACTTTGAGCCCTGAAGATGATCTCCATAAAGATCGAAACGTTGGCACGATAAAGAAAATGTTTTTCTAAAACCTACGTCACACAAGACCGCATCTTACGATCTCCGAATAAATATTATTAATATAATATTAAATAATATTATTAATATGTTATTAATAATACTAAATTAATTATATTGCTTTAATTCCAATTTAACCCTTAAAAAACCACATTTAAATTACACAATTAAATATTCTTTCATTTTAAGAATTTTTTAGAATTTGATAATCAAAAAATGTCGGTATAAATATAAGCATGTAAAGCAAAATTCCTGCATATTTGTAAAAATTAAAAAAAAATTGTAATGGGCTCTATATAAAATATTACATGAAAATTAATTGTAATTAAAATTTAGAATTAGATAAAATTAAATATAAACAGACGGATTCTTCTTTTAATTTAAGAATTTAAAAATATATAATATGGGTTTATATCTAAAATAGAAGATGTGAATTAATTACAATTAAAATTGAAAGATATAAAATTAAATATAAAAACAAATAATACTTCTGTTAATTAGAAATTTAAAAAAATAAAATAATTGGTCAACAAAATAATTTCTGAAAATTTGAAGAAAATCTCGAATTCATAGAACTATATAGTTTTATATAACTTTTAATTTGAATTGTACAAAACACTCGAATTAACAATGGAAAAAATAGTGACTTTTTACTTTATTTTAGATAATTTGAAATTGTAGTTGTAATTAATTATTTATGGACCGATAAGAGGGAAAATATAGTATATTAAAATACCCCGCAAATACACAGGAAATTTACTTTACACGGCAAGAAATACTAAATAATTGTGAGCTCTAAAGGACCAGTGACATGGCCCGAAATGTAATTGAAATATATGACAAAAATAAATGGTGTGTTTAGTGAAAAAAATCTAGGTTTAAAGTATTCCAATTCTTTCTGCAAACTTTGATATAATTAGTCTTCAATTAATAAGGTTTTTTGTTGAGAGAAAAAACAGCCAAATAACTGGCCAGGGGAGGATCCAGAATGGATAAAATAAGAAGTAGATGAACTCAAGAAATACCAGTAAACTACATAAATAAATAAGATCGAATTAATTAAGGTGTTAAGTTGAGATAAAAAAGTTAGTGTCACGAGCGGGATTCGAACCCACGACCTTCGGCTAGATATGCCGCTACTCAACCACTTGAGTTATCGTGACTTTGATCCACTCGGACACTAACTTTCCGTCTCAACCCCACCTTTTGAATTTTCCATCCTTTTTGCCATTTTTCAAATGTCGTGTAATCTATTTGATTCTCGGCGACAAATGAAATGGCCACGGAGAGCTTTAGTGAAGTATACTTCATTTTAACTTATTAAATCCACTAGTTTCCGTGGTCCGCATGACCAATTAATATCTTTCAATTAATTAAGGTTTTTTGTTGACATAAAATCTAGCCGAAGGTCGTGGGTTCGAATCCCGCTCGTGACACTGACTTTTTATCTCAACAAAAAACCTTAATTAATTGAAAGATATTAATTGGTCAAGCGGACCACGAAAACTAGTGACTTTGATATAATAATTTTGTATTTTTTTTTTTAATTTGCAAGTCTTCCTACCTTTCACGGTTTTTGGAAAATTATACAAATATTCGAAAAAAAAGGTTATTTTAATGGTGTTCGGAAAACCCCTAGATTCTTTAGAGAAAACAAAAACGATTTCAACACTACCTATGGGTTAAGCAAAGTAATATTTTAATAATATATTAAGTTCCAAGAACTTTGAACCGACGGTGCGTTAAAATGGACCACTTCCCTTAACCAGACGCCTATCTTCCTTAGCAAAGGGGTAATCCTTTGATTATGACCATGAATGAAACCAGTCCTGACAAAAGGAAGGAAATTATCAGATCATTCAAATCCGGGGCAAAATAATTAAACCAGTCTCCATTTTGTTAAAATTCCTGTTATATTTTAACATGCTCTGTTTAACACAAGGTCAATTGAAACTATCGCAATAACAATGTCGCCTGCCTCTTTGGCTATTGATTTTTTAAAATATTTATTTAAAACCGGTATTGCGTTAGATATAGAATTATATCAAATAATACACTAAGGGAAACTGAATAAAAGATATCAACTGTTGATTAGGGCCAAATTGTTTCCAGCGAAACTCAAAGCATGGTGGAGTACCGCATACATAATTTATAAGCACCCAGATAAATTTTAACTTTTAACTAAAAAAAGAGAACAAGGCGTGCTATTCATTATTGGAATGTAATTTTTCAAACATAAATTCGGTTATATGAAAAAAAATCTTTAAATAAATTGTAAGCTGTCTAAAAACATTCGGCCAAAACAAATTCAAGATTAAAATTGATTTGAGAGATAATCTATCATGTTGCGTCATTAATAAATGATTTAAAATTAACTGGGAGTTTCCACAAACATCTTTGATCAAATTGAAACTTACAATATGTATATATATTTAAAAAAAATATAATTGATTAAATTTCCTTATGTTTTTCGTACTGGTTTACGTATATCGTGTACGAAAATTCATTTTTGGGGGAGGGGTAGGGTGTCCAAAATTCCAGGGGTGACGGTGGGAATCGAACCCACCGCAGGATCAATGATCCGTGAGTCGGACAGTTCTAAATTCTTCAGTTAAATTTATTATTTATATCATAATTTTGATATTGTACGTATATCACGCATGAAAAATATTTTTTTGGCGGAGGGGTAGGGGTCTACAATTCCAGGGGCGACGTTGGGAATCGAACCCACCGCAGGATCAATGAGCCGTGAGTCGGACAGTTCTAAACTCTTCAGCTAAATTTATTATTTATACTGTACTTTTGCTATTGTACGTATATCATGCATGAAAAATATTTTTTGGCGGAGGGGTAGAGGTCCAAAATTCATGGAGTGTCGGTAAGAATCGAACCCAAGGCTGCGGGGTCAACGAGCTCCAAATAATCATAAATTTTATCTAAATGTATTATTTATTCCCTGGTTTTGCTTATTATAAGCAAATGATGAATGAATAAGATTTTTTGTGGGGGGAGAGGGGTCAAAATTCCAGGGGTGAACAGTGGGAATCGAACCCACGCTCTACGAATTGAGAGTGTGACAAGCTGACCACAAGGCTGCTCATTTATCATAAATTCTATCTAAATTTTTTAGCTAAATTTATTATTTTTACCCTCATTTTGCTATTATACGTTTATCCTCAATGAATATATTTTTTGTTTTTGATGAAGGGAAATCTTAAAAATTTGAGAGGCGACGGTGGGAATCTACCCACGTCTTACGAATCTGGCAAGCCAACAAATCGGCTACTCATTTATAATAAATTCTATCCGAATTTTTCAGATATGTTTGTTATTTATATCCGGATTTTGCTATTATATATAAGTATAGTATTATGATCACTGACCTTAAAGTCGATGTAACCATTTTTGTCCATGTCGAATGTCCTGAAGACATGGTCGCAAAATTCTTCCGCGTTACCGCTCGGGAAGAACATCTTGTACATATCTACGAACTTGGCGGGTGTCAGCCTTCCGTTTGGACAGTCTTGCTGTAAAAGTGAAAATAAACATAACATTAAATATTGTCAAGTACGATACATTCAAATCAGGAAAGAATGTGTTAAATGGTTAAACACAACTTGGTAGAGAAAACAAAAAAGATCGATTAAACAATACTGAATTCCTTGCTTAAAAAAATAACGAATCTAGAAAACCAACCACTTCCCAAACATTCCACCATAGACGAATTTCTGAAGGATCGTACATTTTGTTAAGAAGAAAAAATAGAAAATAGAAAAGCTGCAATAAAGTTGTGCTGTTTCTTCGTTTTTAAAGCCAAAGTTAAACAAAAATAGTATGTTCTAAGGAACTATGAAGTTCTTTGGCGAAAACAAGTCTTAGGGCCAATACCGGCTGAGAATCATAGGCCGGGAAAAGTTTTCGGCTAAGTTGATCACAATCGATACGGCTTTCCTTTATAAAGTTCATTGACATCGACATGTAAGAAGTAAACAACTTTAAACAACGGATTAATCAATCATTAATAAACTTAAAAATATGAAACAAAAATGACTAACATCAGCGCTCACAATGATTTCTTTCGGGGAAAAAACTGATTAAAGTCAGTTCTTTCTTTTTAAGCGGTTTTTCTTACTTTGAAATGTTGGTAATGGCAAGAGAAAATCATTAGTTTCTGAAAGTTGAGTAAACCCATTAGATGTATGGACTAACCATAACCATTAAGTTTGGCATGGTACATATTTATGTATTTCAACGAGAAGCAAACTTTTCGAGAATAGTTCCAAATGTCAAACGACTAAGTTTTATTACACGAATTGAATGAGCATAAATTATTCTTTTTTTTAATAAGTATTGCTTTCAACAGGTTATGATTCGTTGTGATAAACATGTAAACACTTTGATTCCATGAATTTTCACCCCATCTATGAATAATTTGGGTTCGAATCGATATTCCTTTTGAGAAAATTTGAACAAAACGACCTAAAGAGAAAAAAAAGTTTTCCCAACAAGTTTATTATTCTACAGTGCCATGAGAAGAATAGTGCCTTGTCTTTGCCCCTAAGAACATCCATCTTAAACCGTCTGACAGTCACTTAACAACCCACTTCTCCAAACGTATCTTCCACCTCGTTTGCCCCAGTCATTTGACTTCGTCGACGGAAAACGTTTCGGCGCGATGGAAGAACTTTTTCACTGAAGAATAAAAGAAAATTGAGCATATCGAAGTGCATAATTTTATCCGCCTACATATTAGTACGACTAGCTCTAGAATCATCGTAAATATTTTATATTTTCTGTAAAAGGCTTTTATTATTTTTATTGTGTTCCAATCGCACAAGAGCGCAACAAGCAACTTTGCCGTTTTTATAAATTTTGTACTACGACATTATAAAAGTGGAGCTCCACTATTCACTTTTCTTACTAGACAGGAAATCGCGAACCCATTGGCGCTTAAGGGGTCTTAACAGGATTATCTGGAAGGGTTTGGGATGAAAGGTGATGGACTAGGGGGTTTGGATGAGGGTCTAGGGTTTGATGGGACTTTAGGTTGGACACGAAGAAGCTCGGACCATGGTTAAAACGATGTTGGACTTAAGTAACTGGATTCTTTGCAGTAACGATGGGCATAAGAAGGAGTTTCGTTCTGTTTTTTCCCCCGAGGGTTCGCAACAGCAGAGGTCATATAAACCCTCAGAGTGCCGGTGTTTTTGAAAAAAAAAAGCCCATTTGTGTTGGTATGTGGGGTTCGAATGCAGGCCGTTGGATGACCTTTACCTTACAGTGATGAGCGCCGTGTCAACGCCTAAACCGTTGCGGCCCCCCCCCCCAGCTTCGTTCTGTTATCAAGCAGTTAGTTCAATTCTATTATTTTAAGACTAGCTTGGGAGTTTCAAGTAAGTCTCTCTTCGGAGTAAAGCACCAAAGAGAGGAAGACATTGGTTGCTGGAGGAGAGGTTGGTTACTGGGATGTGATTTCGCTGAGTTTGATCCTTCATTTCTTGAACTTTCTTGGAGGTTTCTGAAAGCTACTGGTCCCGCTTAAATGACGGCGGTATCGTCTGCAAGAGTGTATCGGGATTTATAGTAATGCCTGCAGTGTATATTGAAAAGGGAATAGGACCAAGGATGCTACCTTGCGGAACACTCTCTTCGGCAAAGTTGATGGGGAAAGAAAATACGTCTTTGAGGTTCCGAACAGACCCGAGTAACACATTCGATCTAAGATTTCCTTAACATGTGATAAAGCAACCAAGCAGCATTGATAAATGTACTAATAAAGTAAAACTTAAAAATTTACAATAATTAGAAAACGTACACAACCGTCCATAAAGTTAATGTTGCGAAATTAAAATTAAAAATTCTTATAAACTTAGATTTAATATCAGTGTAGAAGTTCGACCTTGCACGATATTGCCCATAAAAATCCAAATGGGTTAACTGGAATAACTAGGAAAGATATAAAATAAAAACGAGGGGTAAAATAAAAGAGAAGGGCAAATTTAATTTTGCTATCAAAGGACGTTATGAAAGTGTAATAAAAGGCGAATTATCTCATAAAACTATTCGCGATTGTCAAATTAAGTTAGATCCTTATAAAAAATATAGTGTCGCCTGCTAGAAAAAGTTTCTGTAATTTAAAAATATAAAAGTTATTTAGATCAATTGAACAAAACATTATCCAGAGGATATCCGTAGAAAAGTAAAAATACTTTCCCCCACAACAATCCTGGCCGGGATTACGATTAAGTGGAAACAATTTCAAATTAGAACAGGAAAAAAGGTGTTTACGCAAAATTTCCAAAGAAGAAAAATAATATAATGAAGTCTGGATTTTTTTAAAAATTCACAATTGTAATAAAATTACAATAAACAACCATCATAACCGACTGGTGGCTTCCAATAGTGTTGCTGCTCAAGTTGTACACTACATGAAGACGCTTGGCCAATTTGAGTCTTCAGTAAAATAATATCGAAGAGGGGAGAAGTTGGGCTACAAGGGGTGGAAAGAGTCGAGTGAAATTTAAGGTATTTGGTTCTTGACATGTCAGGACGAAAAGAATGTTGAGATCGGTATGATTGTGTATGTAGAAAGAGGAGCATAGACTATTTTTCGTTGGATCTTGGATTATTGGGTCTGGATTTTACAGATATTGGGGTAGAACACCAAAGTTCTAGTTAGACCGTATTAGCTTTATCACTTTATTATACTGTAATAATAAATACAATCAAACACCTAGTCTGACGAGTGGTATTGTCGTTTCAGTCTCGTGTGGGTGTTATTATCAGATCGATTGCTGTACAATCAGCAAATGTAAATTTAACTGTTGGAGATGTAGGGATGTACAGGATAGGACCTCGGTCACTAGCTTGGGGGATACCCACGAGAACTGGGTTGGTGCTGCAGAGAGTGCATGGCCTTCGTAAAAGTGAAAGGAAAGATAGGATTTGAGGATAAGATATGTTTGGGAAGCAAGCATGAGCAGTCGTGGGAAGGCCCGTAAACAAGACCGTCTGCCGTACCGACCTCCACGTAAAAAAACGACGGTGTTTACGGTCCGACCGTCGGCCCGTACGTAAATACGACCGTGGCCGTCCTTTCATCCGCATACGAGGAGACTTCAACGTTGACTTCCCCAGACGGGGAAAATATGGATTTTGGGTTTAATGACATTTTGACATTATTAAAAGAAACCCGTGTTTTATCATGAAAACCGCGGAACGTGCTATGAAGATAAAGTTTAAAGATGTGTGAGCTGGGCTGATTTCACGAGGGCTGTCGTGTAATCTCGAAAATATGGGAATATGCTGCAGGCGACACAACACCGACGGTGCCAGACCGTTGATGTACCAACAAGGCTACAAAATGGGCATGGAAATGGGTGTAGCCGAGTCTAGATACACTCCGGATCCAAACCGACCAGGCCAGCTGAAAAGGCAAGGCGTCGATATTATTAGGACGCCATCGGAATACAGAGATAGACAAGTTCAAAGCCAGACCATGGCTAGACATAAGATAGTCGTCGCGGTTTACAACTACCAAAGCGTCTGACGTCAGCTTTGTCAAGGGCGACAGGATGGAAGTTCTAGATGACAGTGAGTCAGACTGGTGGAAAGTAAGGCACTTAAGGACTGGCGATGAAGGACTTATCCCTTGGAATTTTGTAGCTCAAGAAAAGTCTGTCGAGAGTGAAGACTGGTATTTTGGTAAAGTATCGAGAAAAGAGGCCGAGAAATTTTTGATGGCTGAGGAAGAGCCAAGGGGAACGTTTTTAGTAGGGACTATGTACACAACCCGAGTGGATATTCGCCTTCTGTCAAAGACTGGGAGCAGACACGAGGCTATCACGTCAAACACTAAAAGTAAAACCGTCGGGTGACGAAGGCTATTTTATAGCAGAAAACAAAATATATTTACAAAACATATATATAAGGCAAACCCAAAATTGGGTTGGGATGGGGAGTTGATGTCCGAGTGGATCGAGGTCACGATAGCTCAGGTGGTAGAGCAGCGGCGNAGTTTCGAGCAACCGTTATCGAGTCTGGAACACACCTGATCTCTTTTTTCCAGTTCAACTCCAACATCTCCCCCCCTTCGACCTTCCCCCACTCACTTTCAAAAAGTGACTGAAAGTGTCATCCCCAAAATGTGAGGGTGACAATAGCAGTCTATTAAGATTGCTATTGTCTATTAAGATTAAGGTATACTTTATGAAATGCTTGCGCGACGTCAAGCAATATTCCAGCTCAAGGGACTGCTGAGCTCGAAACCGAGCTGGAATCCGGGAAATGTTTGATTTTATTCACGAAGAAGGAGTGCCGCTAGAGCTGGTTTTGACCTACGTCCGCTAAGTTTACGACGACGATGGCCTTCTATCTAACCCACCGAATTAACTTTAACCCCCCCCATTAAATAAAAAGAGAGTTCCAGCACTGTTTGGTTTCTCTCCCCACTGCTTCCTGGTCTGACAGGTCTGTCAGGCTTTTTATAATTAAACTATTTGATCAATGTACATTATGTACAGATAGC